AACTTTTTTTGGAGAGGGGATGGGGTGGGTTGGTGGGGGTGGGGAAGGTTGAGAAGGAGTTCTGGAAAATGTTTTTCCTTCTCTTGATAAGGAAAATAAATGTTTTCCAAAATATTTAAGCCAACCAAACATGAGAAAATTGAAAAATATTTTCAGAAAAATATTTTTCTTCATACCAAACATACCCTGAGTTTTGCAACTTTCGCCAAATTCTCAACCATTTCTGTGAAGCAGTATGAATCTGAAGTTACCAAACAGAACAATGGTGCAAAAAATTTTATATCTCATTCCCAGTATATAGTTTTGTCTTAGCTTCCTTAATTTTATCATATAAAATGATGCTTGCATGTGAATCAGAATAACCTCCCATGGACGTGTGTTATTCTAATTTTGTATGCTACGTATGTATTTGAGGTGTTTATTTACCGAATTTGGTATGCAAATTACCATTCCTTCACCAGATCAGCAGTGGCATAGTGCCACTACTTGTCACGTAAGATAGGGACGGTGCGATACTGAACCGTACCGAACCGAACAAGAAAATACCGAACCGTACCGAACTACTACTTGGTACGGTATTTGGTATGCATAATTGATATACTGAATACCGAAGTACCGAACCGTAATTCATAAATACCGTACCGAATGCTCACTCCTATGCTAAAGTGTAGGCATGTGCAAAGTGTGCTATCATAACTCAAATCGGCAATTTCATCAGAAAATAGCATTTATCAAGTTCATTCAGAGATTTAACCTCTTTGTAGTCTCAAACATGGCTCAAATAGTTCATAATAATATTACAAATATGCGAGGCATCGTAACTTAAAGCTTAACAATCAATTTTAGGCTTATCATAGCCTAAGCACAACCCGAGCATAGATAACTACCGATGGTGTTAGCACATGGGCTCAAAACCCACGCATGTGCGCACCCATAGCACGTAGCTATCACAAGTAATTCGGCAACTAGTGCCTCAACCAAGTTTAGATAAGATATTTACCTCAAGCAAGCCAAATTACTCCCTTAACAAGCACTTCCCGCACGTATTAACCTCCAGAAGGCTCGAATCTAGCCAAAATAACGTAATACTATCAATAAAAAGCTATAGGAATTGATTCTAAATGATAAAGCTAAGATCTTTAACCAAAATTTAGAAGTCAACCCAAAAAGTCAATCCCGGGCCTACGCCTCGGAACCCTATAAAATTTACAAATTGTGAATACCCATTCAATAACGAGTCCAACCATAATAAAACCATTCAATTCCGACCTCAAATCAACTTTCATAGCTCCATTTTTTATTCTTTTTTTTGCAAAGTTTTCACAAAATCCCCCATTTGTTCACTTTAATCCACTAACTAATGTTAAAACAACGATGGAATCATGATATAACAAAAAAAACCGAGTAAAAAATACTTACCCCGCTCCAAAACGTGAAAATCTCCTCCAAAATCGCCCAAAATCGAGCTCTACAACTCAAAATGTGAAATAATACTCTAACCCACGATTTGGGATTTTAGAACTTTCTGCCCAGGTGCTTAATGCCTACACAAACGCGAAGGCTAAATGCCTAGTGCCCAAGCCGGCCTCATCCTTCTACGCGAATGTGAATACCCTCTTGCGATCACGATGCATAGACCCACTAGACTTTCGCGAATTCATGGCCTTCTTCGCAAACGCGAAGAACAAAACCTCATGCCCCTGAACTACTCTTTGCGAATGCGATCTCCATGTCGCGAACGCGATGAAGACTGCACCAGAAACCAGATCAACGGTTCTATAAGACCGAATTGAAGCCGAACTTTGTCCGAATTAACCCCGAGGCTCTTAGGACCTCGTTCGAATATACCAACATATCCTAAAACACGAGATGAACTTAGTCGAAGCCTCAAATCACATCAAACAATATTGAAATCATGAATCACACCACAGTTCAAGCCTAATGAACTATTGAATTTCTAACTTCTAAAATCGATGCGAAAACTTATCAAACCAACTTCGATTGATCTCAAATTTTGCACGCAAGTCATAAATGATACACCGGACCTACTCCGACTTCCGGAACCAAAATCCGAGCCCCATATCAACAAAGTCAACTCTCAGTCAAACTTCACAATCTTCCAAACCTTCAACTTTCCAACTTTCGCCAATTCAAGCCAAAATGACTTACGGACCTCCAAATCAATATCTGTACATATTTCTAAGTCCAAAATCACCATACGAAGCTATCAGAACAATCAAAACTCCATTCCGGAGTCGTCTACACAAAAGTCAAATTCCTTCAACTTAAGCTTACAACCTTGGGACTAAGTGTCCCAATTCACTCTGAAACATCCCCGGAACCAAACCAACCACCCTGGCAAGTCACATTAGCACAAGTGAACATAGGATGAACAATAAACAAGGGATCAAGGCTACAATAAACAAGACGACCGGCTGGATCGTCACAATAGCATAAAGAATTAAGATTTTCTCCCTTTCCACCTAATTTTTTGGAGTAATTAAATCAGAATTATGGAGTTAAATATGTCTTGCTTTATACTAGGATATTATTAAGATTATATTTTAACATGTATTTCTTGTAACTCTGATGTAAAGATATATTGAGCAAAAGTGATGGGGTTAGGAAAAAGGTCATTATCCCATCTATCCAGCAGCGAAACTATGTATGGCCAAGGGTGGTCAACTGAACACTCTTTGCCGAAAAATTATACTACATATAAGGTAAAATATTATTTATTCTTAATTTAATAAATAGACTTCGGATCCTTGCGTAGTCCACTGGTTAAGGGTGTTCAAATTTTGAGCAGCCTTATTGAATTTCCGGGCTTCTACAGCTATCTACTCAACCATGTGGAAGAGAGACTAGCACAAGTACAAAATAACAGACAACAAAAATTGGCAATACTCTATAATCATGGACAAGGAAACTCTGGTCCAAAAAATCCAACTATGTACTTAATTTGGTTCCAAACATATATAGAAGCAATCCAAGAATAATTCCTACCACACATTACTATATATAGACTGCCCACAATAGTATTTCATCAATTAATCACTGATGTACATTTATTATTTCATGAAGATAAAATCACATCTCTTGAAATAGATCTAATGAAGAAGAAAAGAAGAGGAAACTAATGAGATCAAGATGTCTACTGAAAAAAAAAACACTATTATATCCAAAGTGTATGTCTAGATATAAACCATTGAATCTCATTTAAATGCCTAGTTATTAGCTACTCCAGTTTCACTGGTCCTTGCTGCATTGGCTTCAACATCAGTTATATGAGAAGCATTACTACCAATCTCCTTGGCTGCATCATAGGTAGCATGCAATCCTACAAGCAAGTAGTAAACAAGCAAAATAGCGGTCCAAACTGAAAATCTCACAAATGATGCACCATCAATGGAGCTCATGATGAACACATTAATAGCTACACTAGCAGATGGAATCCATGGCATCAATGGTAATCCCCATACCTTAGGCTTTCGCGCCTTTAGCATTAAATTTAGCCCCAAAGTGGCGAAAAACCAAACTCCAACAGTAATTATGCACCCGAGCCAAGCATTTTCGCTGATTGCCCAACAAACACCTGATCCAATTGAGGACAGTGTGATCACAACCAAGAACAGAATGAGTTTTTTCCTATCAGCATCTGATGTTTCCCCTGACACGTAGTAACGTCTCACTAGAAGTGCTAGGGGAACTAGTGAGAACACAAACAATGTGGCGATTGAAACAAGGTTTGCCAATATGTCAAGACTTGTGAAGAAGGCCATAATGCAATTCGCCGCGGTCATTATAACTGTAGCAGTAACAGGTGTCCCGGTCTTTTCACTAATTGCAGCAAGAAATGGAGGGGCCATATGGGTTCTTGCAATGTGTGTAAAATACCTAGCTTGACTAATTATGTTGGCCAGCAAAACTGTTGTCATCCCCTTCAAAGCCCCAAATGCAACTATGTACTTTGCCCAATTCATCCCTACTGCTTGGAAGGCAATGGTAAATGGGGCATCAACATCTACTTGATTAAAAGGTTGCATTAGGCACAACGTCGCGGCTAGGAGGCAATATATTGTGATAATAACCACCATCGAACCTATTAGACCCAGAGGGATATCCCTACCTGCAGTGGCGTAGCCAGAAATTTAAGTAAAGAGATTCAAAAACCTATAAAAGTATCACACTTAGAATATGAATGTTAAGGGGATTACACATAGTAATTTTTCAGCTACAGGTATTCAATTGAACTCCCTTCACAAAAAGTAACTACGCCCTTGCCTACCTGGATTCTTAATCTCTTCCCCAAGAGTTGCGACACCATCAAATCCAACATAAGCAAAGAAGAGCATAGCTGCTGCTTTCAGGACGCCACGAGCACCATAAGGTGCAAAGCTTGAATAATTAGCCACATTCGCCTTAGATAGGCCAGCAACAAGTATAAAAACCATGACAATTATATGTACTATGGTCACAAATGAATTAAAACGCGAGGACCCTTTCATGCTCAAGGATGCACCTACACAAATGACCATTGAGACAACAATTGCTATAGGATCTAAGTGGTTGTAACCCTCAGCAAGACTCGAGACATTGATACGGAAATCATCAGGCTTGTGATTGCATAAAGTCGCAAAATAGGAAGTCCAAGATCGCGCAACACTAGCACCACTCACAATGTACTCAAACAGAATGTTCCCTGCAGCAATGAAAGCGATGAAATCGCCAAGTTCCACTCTCAGATATGCAAATGAACCACCAGCAACAGGGAGTTCAACTGAGAATTCAGTATAGCACAACACAGAAAGCAGAGCAGAGATGCCTGATATAACATAGGACAGTAAAACAGCAGGGCCAGCAATGTTTTTAGTAGCTTCACCAGTAAGTACAAAAACTCCAGCACCCATTACTGCACCAATACCAAACCAAATCAAATCAAACCAATTCAACAATTTCTTCATCTGATGCTGGCTACGATCACGCACTTCATGGAGCTCTAATTGGTCCGAAGATCGAGACAATATGCGGTCTTTAAGCCGTGTTTTTGTTTCACGTAATGCTTGTGCATAACTTCCCCAGCTCGTGAACGATTCCTCTGGCAAAAAATCATCTTTGCTGCATCCACAGCCCCTCTTCTTCAGTGTATTATGCCTTTGATCAACATTTTCACTAATGTTATTAACCATTTTGTCCTGCAAATTATGAATAATAAAGTGCTAGTCATAATATTTTAAGTACCAATATTTCCCTTGAATTTTATATCAAACTTAATTTAACTCTAATCTCTGTTGAAAGATATAGTTACATTTTCACAGAAACTTATAAGTGATCATATGGATGTATTATTGATAAACAATCATTTCTCCACTTAAAAAGTAGTATGTACTATAAAAATTAATCATGTGCTTAATGGGTTATCAATTCTTCTCTTTAGCGAAGGTTTAATGGAAACGGTCTCTCCAGACCCCACCTGCGTGATTCAACTGGATTTTTTGTTGTTGTTAATGAGTTATCAATGTTAACTATAATTAAGACCTATTTAACAATATATTTCAAAATTCACCGATTAATACATTAAGTCAAACGAAATTTATAGAGAAGAGATCACACTCAACAAAACCTGGTTTAATATTTGAAAAGATAGTGAAATGTTGTGTTCCTCTAATCTTCCGCCACCTTCTGCTTGTCACTCAAATGCTTGCACTACATTCTTCTTCACCTTTTAGTTTTCATGAAAATATTTAGTGTTTAAAGCTTTTCTGTTAAAGAAAATATAGGGAGAGTCAGAAAAATAGAAAATACCCAACAGGATTTATCTTTCAAACGTGCATGCTTATCCAAATCAGAGTTAATTAGTTAGGGATTCAATCCAGTTGATGCGCTAAGATTCACTAAAATAAAAGTCAAAAAAATTACAATTTGTTGAATTTAACTTTGTTCCGTGTCATCACGGTGAAGGTAGTTTTGGTTTCACTTTAACTGCCCTCACATATTAGTGAATTCCTAATCCTTTCTTTTATGGAAAAAGGGGCAAATGCGTCCCTGTATCATTAAAAAAAATTAAGCATTTTTAACCTATTTAGATTATCTCTAACTAATATTATCCTGTCGTTAGGAAAAAGTCTCATTTAAACATTATGTATGTTTCTTAGTATTTTGAATCGCCTTTTGAGTCAATCAAATAGAAATAATAGTCAAGATTGCATATTATACTTGATCTAACTACGCTTGTACTACAATTTAAATCAAAATGTCGCTAATAAAATTTCCTGCACTTCTATTTCCTAAAATCTTACTGGCATTTACCTTCTACTTCTTTATAGCACGAAGAATAAACCTACAAAACTAGCAAGTGTAAAACCTCAATCAAAAGTTAGCTTAGTAGGTTAAAGGGAACAAATCTATTGTCATTCAATTTATAAAGATGATGACTAGAATGCGTCTTTAAAAAAAACATACTTGTAAGAATCTGGTATTTATGTGAAAATAGTATGACTGCTAGTACGAAAAGTATGGTTGTCGACCAAATTTATTGTTCTTCTCCCAAAATGATGCTTTTTCAAGGGTCAGTTTGCCTGGATTTTTAATTCATTCATCATGTCAAAAGGAAATATTAACATTTAATATTTTTATTATTGATGAGAGCATCTGAAAAAGTTTACCCACGAGAGCAGAATTAGAATTTTGGGGCTGAGTTGTGCCCCCTATTGTACGTTGCATAACGAACGAAATGGCACACCACAGATTTTGCTGCACTGCTGAAGTGGAATGCGACATACAAATAAATAACACTAAAATAAATTGTAAATATCATACATACACAAATCGAGGTTTCTTCATATTTTCATGCACAAGGGGTATTTACTAGACAACACCAGACTATAATTAACTAACTATATAATAATGATAAACAAATGAAATAAGCAGAGACAGAGCAGAAGAAAAAACCTCACCAAAAAAAAAATGAAACAAATATTTAAAACCAACACCAAAATAATGGGGCTAGACAACACAAAAGACCAATTGATGTACAAAAAACACAATACTATGATGGATGCTAGGTCTCTATCTTGAGAAGGGAATTGAGTGATGTACTGTTAAATCTCTGTGCAAGACCTCGGATGACAAGGACTACAATGTCACGGAGATGTCGCGTTTGTACCAGTAAATCCACTTCATTATCACTGTCCACCACAATCCTCAGCCGATGTTGATCATTTCGGAATAGCTCCACCTGTACAATGACATGAATCTGGAGTTAATCTTAAGCATCTACCATTTATGTCATACATTTCCCACAGCATCCTAATAGCACACATTCTAGATTGAAAACAAACCTATACGGTAATGTATTAAACTAGTAGGTACCGGGTAACTCTGTCCAATATGGTTTAGGCAGATAAGAAGAAACGACCTATTAGTTTTTGTCTCTACTGAAATTCGAACCCTAGTCTCTAAGATCTGCCCAAATTTGGGAAATTTCACTGCCCCCTGACTTACAGGCCAACTGAACTTGGCGCTCCAGAGTGGATCTTTAGGACCCAATAAATAGGGTACCACCCCATGCCCGTGACCCAAGTAACCACAAGTCTGAATGAGCAACAGTGAAGGTTTACTGTCCAAGAGAGTATCCTAGTGTGGTCTAGTTAGTTTGTAGTTTGCCTTGTAAGTCCAACGTTGTGTGGAAACATATATCAACACAAAATTGTTTTCCGAGCTCCCAAGTCTTCTCTACTAGCTTCATTTCCTTCTTCACATAATCATAGTGTGGTAATGATCAAGCCACATTTCGGGATACAGCTGAACCTAGGGTCTAACAAGAGGACAGTCGGCTTGGGTGGCGTACGTGGAGCTAGAACAAGTTTACGCCCATGATAAAGTGGAAGAATGAAAAGGATTGCAAAGGTATATGCCCAATACCAATATTTAGAACAGAAACCGAGAGTCTCAAAGATAGATATACTTACATGGAATGGAGGCGCATATGTTCCCCGAACCTCAGTTGTGGGAAAAGAAGTCTTAGAACCAGGTTTCACTACCTTTACCCTCTTTCTGTTGACTTCCAGAATTCTTCTTTCAAGATTCCCCATTCCTGGAACCTGCATAGTTAAACCATAAGAAGTTTATCCTTTATCTATCTTACTATATGATTGGAAACTGAAACAAAATAATGAATGAAAAAGAACTAACTTTCTTCGTAGATTGATCCTTGTCACACAAGGCCTGCAATAATAACATCAAGTAATTTATGTTAACACGCTGAAAATAAGAGCACAGGGAAATAATATCATGCTAGGGCTGGGAGAAGATGTAAACAGGATGATTAATATTCTTTTATTGATAAGGTAGTTTTATTAATGAAGCACAGTACTAAGATAGTACGGTGGAGATACAAAAACCAGAATAACTGGCCAGGGATCCTATTATAGCTGCAAGAACCCAGAAAACGTAAACTGATTAATATATTGCTGCAAAAAATTATATATTGCAGCAAGCATAAACAACTGATCATGAAATGTGACACCAAACTAATTTAAACTTCAAAGACGCAGCTTGATGCAAGTTATGCACCAAGCTTATTTGACTTCAATAAGTGCTAAACAGACAGACAGACAGACAGACAGACAGGTTGCATTTCTCCGGAGACTCTCCACTTCCACGCCTTACTGAAAAACTAGATATAAACAACCAATTACAAATTTAAATCAGAACATATCACTGCTTTGGCCAATCTACAGCATATTTGATTAGGGAACTTGAAGCGCTTTGCATGCAAGCAAACGTCGGACGATTACATTCATCTTAAGAAACTTAAACATCCTTTAACCAAATTAAATGTCATATTTTATTCTTCGTTATTTTGTAGATAATAGATGAAAACATATATTAACTCAAATTAAGCCGTGGAATGCCTGGAAAACTTCTCTTGATACTCTAATATGTTTATAAGATACTTATCTTTTGATACTCCAAAATATTCATAAAGAGTACAAATGATTTTAAGACGTGCAGAGATAGGCACAGCATACACTAGCTGGTCGAATGTTCCATCGATGCAAAGACGGACAGTTGTAAGACGGTATTGAGTGAGTGAAATAGGTTTCATAAAGCAAACATTCATTCCCAGAATATAATCACAATTACAGCCAATGTACAAAAAAGAGGCATTATACAGGCTTTATCACAGCCCCCGCCTTCTTTTATCATTTTCCCTTGCAGTTTTTTATTTATGCAGCTCAATCTTAAGTAAGTTTAAGAAGTTAGGGAGCAGATATATATATATTTTACTATACCAATATATAAAATAAGCTTGACGCAATATTTAAATTCACCCTATCTTAAGGCTTAAGCTATTTCCAAGGAGACATTTATTTACTTTTATAGAATGTTTAACACCTATTCAAGACTTTAAGTATGGCGTAATAGCTAGTGGACCACAAGCAACTTTAATTCGACAAAATCCCAAACTTCCAAACATTCTTATGGACTTGCATTAAAACAGGGTGTCATAGGGAAGTTCAAAAGATGAAAAAGAGCCATCACACAACAAGGTCTGGGAAATAATTTTAAGAGATAAAATCACCTCAAACTTCACGGATCCAATCTCAAGCTTCTGCTTTACTTCTTTAAGAACATCAGGCTCTGCAATGAGGAAAAGAAAAAGAGAAAAAGTCAAGCATGAACAGTTGAATAAGAAGAAACAAAGCCACACTGCTCTGGAGGAAAAAAATTCTTTGCATCAAACTTTGCTCAGATAATAACCAGCCACTAGCGAACTACCTTACATATGCATATTGAGTTAGCCCAAATCATAAAGATAATAAAGAAAAGAGCAAACACATAAATGCATTTACCATTGACATATTTTCTTCCATTGTTCTGTAGGTTGTGAATTTACCAAATGTCCACCCAGACACTGGAGTCAAACTTCATGAGAATGACCAAGGTTATGTTGGAGTACTGCCTAATCAGATACTTAAATTACAAATGATAGACTGCTTAATATCAAGATGACATTTATGGAGCAAAAGGCGAAAGGAAAAGTCCGTGACCTTGTTTACATGCTAATACTCCAAAGTGTCCTTCCAATAACAAATAGACATTTGGATGACTCTTTTTCCCCTTCTTGGAGAACTAAGTGGGTCCTTAAAGAGTCAAAGTTGCTTGCTTAACATTGTAATCCTAC